CACTTGTAGTTCAGCGGCTGGAGGTGGTATTTCTGGACGAAGTGCAGGTGGTTGTGGTGGTCAATTCAAGAGCTTTTTGAAGTGGTCGGCCCATCGTTTCCTCTGTTTCTCTTCTTTCGTAATTAAATTTCCGTCATCATCTTTTATTGGCTTCATCTGCGTTGATCTCTTCCCAGATAGCAACCTGGTTATTTGATACAATGTCGTCAGGTCTCTCTTACCTGCAGCCTGTTCTGCTTCACTTGCCAGTGTTTCGTAGAACTATCTTTTGTCTTTGCGTACACTCTTCTTCACTTTTCTTTCCTGTGAAGTGTTTTATACATTGTACTCAGTTCCTCTTGTCGTTGTGCATCCTTGCACTGGTTTGTCTTCTGCTTCACCATCCTCCTCCCCCTCCTCTATCAGCTTCCATGTATCCATTGAGATCCATTCCTTATCTTCTTTCTTCTTCCCTCTTTCCTAATACGGCTATGTGGGTTTCTTTCCACATCTCTTTCAAAGACTTCTAGTGTTTTTTCACATAGGTTTCTTCAGGGATGTTCCTCGATATCTCCCATCTTGTCTTGATGGCTGCCTTGAAGATCTCCTTTTTAGTTTCGTCCTTCAGTTCCCGAGTGTTGTACTTGAAGTGCGATCTATCACCAGCTTCCTTGAAGGCTTTTAACTTGATTTGGTAGGTTCCTTGCACTAGACAGTGAGTGGTGAGTGTGAACCTACATCTGCTCCTCTTCTTGACCTTGTGTCAAGTAGACTGTGTCTCCATTTTCTTGAGATTGAGATAAAGTCGATCTGATTTTTGGTGTCCTGGTGTCTGATGAAATCCATGTCGCTCGCTTTGTGGATATCCTTGTGCTTGAACACACTGCCTGGCCTCCAATCACCAGATCGTTGAATGCACAGAATTCTGCAGACACTTCTCCATTCTCCTTCATCACCTCACCGATCGCTTCTCCACCCATGGTTAGTTCCCTTCCTGTGTTGTCTGCTCCCAGTTTGGCATTCATGTCACCCCACCAATTAGAATTTTGATATCGCCAACTGAGGCTGTGTTTTGTCCAGTGTTGATTGAAGTTGTCTGTAGAATTCCTCCTTTTTCTCTTGCTCTGCATTATTTGTAGATGTGTTGAGTTGAAGCCTGCTGTCATGATCCTGATTCTGGAGGAGACTGGTTCCCTCTGCATGAGAGAGAGCCTTCGATGCTGTTGGGGACATCATGACAGCCAGTCCATAACTCAGTGTGCTCGTGGTTGTCGTCTGGGTGACAATGTCGGAGTAGATTTTTGACTCCTCTCCAGTTGACAGTTTGGAGAGTCCACTCCCATTCCATCTGCTTTCGCGAATTCCAAGCACTTCGATGTGATACCTCTTCAACTCGTTTGCAAGCTGGGCTGCCTTACTGGATTCAAACATCGTGCGGACATTCCATGTCCCCACGTTTACTTTCGCTTTCATCGAGAGAGGGAAGACACATCGGCCAATTGGCTTCGTGAAGATTTTCACCAACTGGCGTCATTTCGCCTCTCCGATTCCAGCGAGGAATAATTTTGTTATTACTTCTATATATAGTTTGTGCTTTGAAGTTTGTTTAGCGGTTAGATTTGTTTTACGGGGTACGGTTGCTAGCCCTACACCCGACCTTCCCTCTTTACCCGGGCTTAGGACCGGTTAGTAACTAGTGAACTAGTTAACCAGGCGAGGTTATCAAGGATATTATAGAATGCGGAAAATATTAATGAAATCCTTTAGGCACTGTTTCTAAACACGTTATAAATTTAAGATGAAGGTTAGTTATGAATTTTATTTGTGTTGTGAGTATACAGTAGTCTCGATGGAAAACTTTTTATGAAATATTTTAGCTATTATCCAGCAGTTTCATTAAAAGACTTATTAATAACTTTTAATCTTTGATAAAAATCACCTTGCTTATTGAATGTTTATAACTTTTGGACGTTTAATCCCTCTTCAAAGTAGTCTACTGAGTGAAAAATTATTTTCAAGAAAATACTGAGTATTGTTACGACAACGTCTCTGCATTTAATGCATAGCACTCAATAAACCAGATTCTGTTTACCGCACAGATGAAAATGACTTATCCTTTCTAATTAGATATCCTTGGTTGGTGAGCTAATTTCATATTAAAGGATAGAGAGTAAAATTAAAGGGAAACTTTGGTCTTCTGTTTAATCTAGCAGCGCTCGGGTTGTTTGATTAACTGTTGTGTAACCAAGGGTACATGGATACTGTGACCCAAAAGCAAGCTGACATTTTCATTGTAGGAGAAACTGAAGTATATATATATATATATATATATATATATATATATATATATATATATCTTTAAGTCTCCCACCGTCGACTGAACCGTTCAGTCAGTAACAGCACATTAACTCAAGTATGAACACTTCAATAGTAGTGATAGTCTTAGTTTGATAATAATAATAATGACATACAGCCCTCGGTTTTCCTTATATTTGAGACTCGTCAGCTGGTTGTGTGCACCTCCTAATAAGTAGTGTTCTTCCCACTGAAACTATTTATGTTGCGTTGTAGTTACTTGTTCTGTTGTGGTTTTCATGAAGATCTCATCTACAAGTGCAGCTGCAAGTACAATGTCACTGTTAGATCTATCTGTTCTTAGTAAATGTGAGCCCTGATGCAACTAAACTTCCATAATTTACAGTAAGCATTCGATTTTTTTCTGAACAACACTATGAAGTAAAAATAATACGCAAAAGCTGCCTTCGTTATTTTAACTGAACACGTTAAAATACTACCTACTAAAAATCAATCTGTCACCACTCACTTGTTTAATCTTATAAGTACTTCAAACTATTAAATAAGGAGAAAACAGAATCCCGCATATAAATCAGACGGTATACCTATGCATAGTTTAAAGCTTGATATCTATCCTGACTAGTTTGCAATTTGATTTTCTACTTAGAAAAAGTTTTAACATAGAGTTAGAAAATATTTCCACTGACAGTATAACTTTAAGTTATAACTTCAGTCTAGAAGACAATTATTTTAAACACAATAGTCAGTGAAAGTGGATGCTAGTTGAAGGTGAAGTGAAACCTGAATCACAACAGGATTAGGACTAGTGATCTCGGAACTACCGACCCGGAGCTGTATCATTTGAAATGCTTCAGAGCAGGTCTTCACTCCAACCACCAAGGGTTCGTTTCATTTAGCTGTCATATGTATCTGTGCTGTAAAAATGTTCGTTTATCGTTATCGCACTGACTTCCAAGTCATGTCCTCTAATGTCAGTCTGAATCCGGGGGCTAATAGTTTGAATTCTACCGCCACCCAGACTTTTATTTTACCTCTAGCCATCACCCAGTTATAATAACATCAGTTTGTCAAATCAGGGTTATTTCGGATAGTCTTATTAGTAAATAATATACTGAGCTTAGAACGTAGGACTGTTTGTTACCACTAACTTCTGCATCATTATCCTTCTTTTAAAACCAGTGGATCTAGAAAGACATCAAATGGAATACAGAAATCCTTAACAATATGAAGGTGAGGAGAAAACTGTTTTTAAAAGTAAAATTTTGATAAGATAGTTCACTTCCTAAACAATAAGTCACGTGCAATTCTTAGCCGTTCCGTTAAATTGCCTAATAGCTAGTGATATATCAGAGAAATAAGTTCACTGAAGCAAAATATTTTGTCGAGAACAATAGACCGTATTTCTAGACCATTAGTTATTTATTGACTGTAGAATAATAGATGAAATTGCAAATGAAGCATAGTATGAATACCGAAAGGATATAACAAGGAAAGATATCTTACTCCCTTTTTAAAAGTATACCCTTTAATTAGCTACAGGAATAGGAATAACAACCAAGTTTTACTTGGTTGAAATCTTGAAAGTAAAGTGTATCTGACATGATTCCGAAATTTATTTCTCTGATTTATATTCAAGATTGAGGCGGACCAATCAATTTTATAGATTTTGATTAATGACTCTTACTGGTTATTCATGGAAAAAATCCAGTTGAGGGGGCGATCATATATGCCCTTATCTGTGTTAACTATTAAAATAATTGAACAAATTATCACCAATTAAATGTTGATTTCTCGGTGACATATCTTCTCACCGAATTACTCAAAAGTGTGAATAGATATGAACCCTATGCATATAGACTCAGGTAATAAGTGTCGATTCGAATCTCACTGATGTCCTTGATTCACCTAGTAACGGGTGTAATACATTTTACACAAAGTCTTTCATTTTGTCATTTACACTGCATGCATTATCAACTGCAGGGGGACCTTTTTGTTACTTGAACATGAAACAATTTGATATCATATAATTTTTTATGTTCCTCATTTGTCATTAGGAGAATTTTGCACAAGCTGTGACGATATATTTGTTTATTTTGTTATTTGTTCTAATATATTTCGCCGGGATTACACAAGTAAAAATACACCTTATTCGGTGTTGCAGTTTACTTGTTCAATGATTTTGGCAGCCGTGTGTACAGCCTATTTACTATTAGTTGATGAACTATCTGTGTGGATTCGTATACATCCATTTTGCTAGTCTAAAGTATAATGAAGTCATATATGTGGGTATCACTGCTGGAAAAGCACTTAATTTTCAAAGTAGTTTTCGTCCCGAACTGAAATCAATTAACCACTGAAAATCTGAGAATATTGAACAGCCGTTTAATTCTAGATTAGAATTAGTGCGAACCCATTATCTTGTGAGACATCAAGCCAAAGACCATTAAGTTTCGCAGCAAGTACAGTATCATTCATCCAGTATGTTCGAATCCAGTGGCCCACATTTTCTTACCCCTGTCAATTTGTGATGTAGTGCAATCATCATCCATTGCCATCTTTTAGTGTTTGCCCTCACACTCGACTCGGTGTGGATTTTTGTTAAAGCCTATAGACTTATTTGTTGCCAAGCACAATTATCTTAAATGTACTCTGTTTACTATCTAATGCTACCCACCCAACGAATTTGTTTTACTTCACCTTTGTAGTTTATTAATCTGGCAAGTAAATTTATTGGAATATTCAATCTGGTCTTATTACTCTTATTACTGGGACACTGGAATGCTTGCCTACAATTCCTCATACCAATGTTACATGATTATCCTGTAGAAAGTTGGGTTGCTAAAGGCAAACTACAGGTAGGTGGTTTTAATTTGACATAAGTATTTACGCAAACAGTACTATTTGATACCATAAAAGAACTTGGCATTAAACGTTTACTTTTCCTCTGATTTATGGTAAATATTTGGTTATAGTCGGCTGTTGAACCCGTTACTTACGACTAAAGGTTCGTCACTGATATATATCTCCATCTAAATGACTTCGCGTTCCTATTAGAACCTCAAGTCAAAACTCATGGTTGCAGGTATCGAAATAACGTATAATAGAATGCACAGCAGAAAACGTGGTAGTATTTTTGCAGCCTCGCAATGACTAATATACTATTTTGATGGAGTGACTGATAATTATAAATAAATATGTCTTCGGCCAATTTATTCGTCGAATAGAAACCATAACAAAGTTGCTAAATCAACTATTTACACTGTTCAGCATAGGATGGAAGGTACAAGAGAAAGTACTTGATTACGGTCTCAATTTGCTATGTGTAGACCAACGCTGTGATGGGTTTGGTTGAGTAAGATTTCCGTAGTTTGAGAAATTTTCCTTTAAGTGATATAAAGAAGTTTTTAAAGTCATTATATGAAGATATTACCGAGAGCCGCAAGTAGGTAGGTGTAAACAACGTTTATGAAGTCGTCAAAAATAAATTTATAAAGCTGCCTATCAATCTATTTCTACCTTGCAATTAGATGAACAGACTATATATTGGAGAGCAGTGAATTGTCGGAGGGCGACAGCACATCATGCAGCAGTAAAACCACAAAATTTTGTGGATACGTCAGTGACAATCACTGTACTTAATCGGGCAAGAGATATCACGTCAACTAAAGGGTAGATCGCAAAAAGATCCACCGAAACAAATCTATCTAAATAAAGTTATAATAAGAAGTTAAGACTGAACCTAATGCGTCAAGCTAAGATTTAGGATAAAGGCACTTCATTGCAACATGAATACAATTAGCGAAAATAAGATCTATATTATACAGTTTGTTGGGCACACTCAGTGACAGAACAACTGAACATAAAAGAAGTGATCAAAGGCTAAAAATAGATTTTCCTCAAAGCAACAAATCGAGTGGTATTGTTACTGATCAGTTGTTAAAGATTTTAAATCTGAAGTCTAAAATAGTGCTGATAGTTAATGAAAAGAATGTGAATCCGAAAGTCGGTTAAACTATGAAACCATCATCAATTTAAAGTGTATATGTTTATTGAAATATAAAAAATTTCGAAGTAGTAGAGCAGAAATACTTCTTTTTTTAAATGAAGCCAGATGAATTAAGCTTACTAATAAATTACCTATCAGGTTTATGTTGAATGCATATTTAACAATAGATTCAAAACTTATTTCTTTCCCCACGGAGTTGAATTAGCGTATTTCTGCTGCAACCTTCTTCTTGAATATATTATAGTATTTAAAGTAATGAGGGAGTCCCTTTTCAGAGAATTTATTTCTAAACTGCTGATTCATATATCAACAGGATATTTCGTGGGTTAATAACATGAATTGTAAATTTTCAGTCTTATCATTAACCAGTTTCATAAGACTTTAATTTATTTATGGAGCGTGTTTAACTTGAATCTGAATGTATGGTTAACCAAGAGACGGTGTGTTATGCAATGCAATTTATTTTGTTGAAATGGATGCGACTTTTAAACTAAGGTTCTGAGGAAGAAAGACTAAGTGAAAACAAACGGTAAAGTGCTACAAAAAAAGGTTAAAAGACAAGAAGTGTGCAGCTGGTCAAGTATTAATCTTGTCCTCATGTTTACGATACAACTGATACACTTTCCTTGTGTCAAGTAGTTAAGCTTAAGTTTATGAACTGTAAAGAGTTGGAGATGATGACTGAAAATCATTGTGTAAATCAGTCAAATGATAGAAGTTAAATTGATGTTCAAGTGTACAGCTTCGGATTGTTTCGCTGTCGCCATTAATAAAATAACTCTGGAATATGCTTGCATATACTCAGTGAAAGTAGGTTCTGGATACAGTAGTTACATGTTTACCGAAACAAACCCTTTAAGTTACGATTTACTAACGTCGTTTACTCTTTACGTGTATTTGGAAACCTTGGATCTAGAAATATCATTATATATATATATATATATATATATATATATATATATATATATATATATATATATAGCTTGGAAACGTACTTACTAGCAACCAATTTAAGAAATCTTTAGTTTCTAATATCAAAATAAGAAATGAATTATTTTTACGCTTTCGGCCAAATGTAATCTAACATGCCTTTTAAAGATGTAAGAGTTGTGTAACTAATCTAAGGACAAACCTAACCCTGCTAATCTATTTCCTACTGAAATAGTGTACCTTTTCGAAGAAGTCATTTATAACAAGCTCACACTTCAAATGACCGTCTGCTGTTGTCGTCAAAATGTACATCTGAAATGACCATGAGATTAATTTCAGATATAGAGGATATCTAAAACCATCTAAAATCTATTTTCAGGTGTTTTCTCTTGATCCGTTTGTAGATAAGTTGTGTTGTTTGTAAGTTCACTTTTTTTTTATCAGAAATGTGTCACTTTAGTGTCTTCCGTAAAACAAGAGCAACAAACACTGTGGGACGAACTGAATTTATCATCTAAATCTTCAATATACATACTGAATTTAAAAGTTGCGTTCGATTAGCTGTTAGTGATCACTATAAGTCACTGAATATATTTCAATAGCAAAATCAATAAATTCATCATTCATATCTAGATATCAATATTTTATGTGATAACATAGATGAATGACGAAGTTGACGACCCGATCAATCAAGTGCAATAAGTGGAATAGTCTTTTTCTAAGGTGATACACCGGAATATAAAATCGAGAAGTAAATTCAGAGAAAATAATGGCACAATAGCGGTACAAGATTTAAATTACAGTCCAAAGTCATAAAAAAATTCGGTAAAAGGGTGCAAAATGTACAAAACAATGGTAGAACAATAGGAAAGGAAATGCCAAGAACCATGATTAAAGCATAGTAAATTGAAAAAATCAAAGATGACGGGAATATGAATAACGTTTTAAGACTTTAGTACCTGATGCAAATGAGGGAGGATTGGGCGACTTGACTGCATGACAAATATATCAGGATCCAATTAGGTCTAACAGAAAACAAGTCAATCTATCAACTACTGTAATGAACGTATCTCAAATATATTTTTAGTCTTCAATCAACTCTTAAACAACATCTGTTTTGTAGCTTTTGGTTAGCTTCAGGTGACTTCAAATATTTACCATCCTAGTTTAGTAACTAAGACTAGCATTGAAAAATCGAGGAATAAATTCACAAAGTCACTTCGATGAAATCATGGTTGTTTTTATCATCATTGAGAAATAACATGGTTTAAGCATTGTCTTGAATTTCTTTTCCTTTTATTTACTTCTAAATAGAACGCTTATTGGTTCGATCAATATACTTGGGCATTATTTAAAGCCATGTCACACATGTTAACTATTGGTTACGGACGATATCCACCCACAAGCTTAAGTGAAGCATGGGTTACAGTGATAAGTATGGTTACTGGAGCAACTGGATATGCTTTATTTGTTGGTCATGCTGCCGCTTTAATACAATCATTCGATTGTTCAAAACGTCTTTACAGGGAGAAGGTAAACTTATTTCAGTTTTGATATACTTAAGTGCCAATGTGTTTTTCCTGTGAATAGTGAGAAGTCCTGGTCTTAATGCACTCAGTGGTTGAACATATTTGCTGACAGAAAGGCGAGAAATGTATCAGAGTGAAAATTTAGTTCACTCCGTAATAGTTGCAATCACCAATCGTTAATCTAACAGTAGTTGCTCAAGGTCTGATTGTAGTTTTTATCAAATGAATAAAACCACCATGACTTTTTATAATCAGACGTATTAGAAATAGAGGGAAAAAGTCTAGTGATTGAAAGTGGAGGCTTGATCAAATTATTTTATGTGGATGCCAGATTAAGATAATATTTAGTACTTTTATGCTTTTCTTCAACATTCTCATTGGTTATCCCTTTTCTGTGATACTATAACTCATGTTGCAAACTTATTGGTTATCCTTCTGAAGACCACATTGTTCTAGTGTGGCTATGCTACTACAAACACAGGTATTTTCTGTTTCATGAATGAACTGCTTGGAACTGCTGGATTACACGAATATACGAACTACAAATCTTCTTGTTTGGTTTTCAGGACTCTTGTGCTGGCTGATATGAATTACAAATCTCAGTCATAATACTACACAATTCTATGTAATTAAAACACTTTGACAAGGTTTCCCGAAGCCTCTATATGCTGTCACTCGAAATATACTAGTAGTGCTTCTTTTCTGAAATTTGTTTGTTTGTATGTAATAGATAAATTGGCGGGCAGTTTAAAGGCTAGCCTCTTGAATGTCTTGGATACCTGGAACTCTTTGTACGCTTTTATTTAATTATAGATTTGCTTTTTTATGATTTAGTTCAAGCAAGTTGATGAATACATGGCCTACAGAAAACTTCCACGTGGTCTTCGCAAACGTATCGCTAGTTATTATGAGCATCGATATCAAGGCAAAATGTTTAATGAAAATGAAATACTCAATGAACTTTCGGAATGCTTAAAAGAGGTAGTTATTTGTCGGCTTAGTTTTTTTGCTTAAATTTGAACAACGTGTAATTCCTTGGAGTGTTTTTTACATTTTCCTAGTATATAATCATCATCATTCATAAGCTCTGTTAAACTTGTAAATCCTTAGTTTATGAGGTTTTTGTAGGTATGAATGACACTGTATGATGAGCCTAACGCAAGTCGAAGGTTTCAGCTAGTATGTTGAAAATATCCTTGATTTTCAGATGGATGACGGTATAACAATGTAAAAGTTGAGTTTTTCAGTGGGGTCTAAATCCTGCTACCAATTCTTTATTGTTTCAAAATGGATCATTATTTCCAATTTTTACGGAAAATTACTCCAACTACGTCGGTATTAAGCAAACTGTACTGTCCAAGGAATTTTGAAGACGTAGATCCTTTTCTACAAATAAAATGAAGATGCGTATGTTGAGGTGTGTGCTGACATTGAACACTGACAACTAATTCAACCAGGTATCGTCAAGCCACATTTGATTCGCCAAAGATGACAGTGTGTCTTACTCAACTTCTTGGTTACTTTTGTTGAAAACAAAAGATATATATAAATATTTGTATATTCAGGGTTGCTGCATAAATTCACAACAACTTCAAACTTTGTCTGATTCAAGTTGTCATCGACATGGATCTCAAAACAAAACTGCTAGATTCCAACTAAATTAAAACAAGTTAGTGATAGTTGATTCGATAATTTAAGATAGACTTGATTAATGTTTGGATATCGATGTACGGGGATATCATCACTCAGATCAGTCATCATAGTGAGCCTCTGTTTCCCAGTTGCGCTCCTGAAACAACTCAGTGTGCTCTTAAACACATGTGTCGTTCTCGAAAACTTGGATTAGCCCATTCGATTAATACGAGAAAAACCGTTTTATTTCCCACTGCGGCTTGTTTTCATAAGATTTTAGTGGTTTTCAGGTGCACTGCTTAGTGACAGTAGTTTATTTACAAAGCGATCTACAAAAAGGAGTCCAAATGTCACAAATTAATGTTGATGTGATATAAAGTTATTTATTTTTCTCTGTTACCAAATGGTTAGGCAATCAGTTTGATCTTGAATAGCTCAGCTTCATGTTAATTTGTTTACCTGATCCACAAACACTGATACAGTGTTATTTACTGGATGATATTATGGACACGGTTTATTTTTCCTTATGATAATCATATTCACATGATTTGATTATGGGTAATAAATTGTGTCCGGAATGTCTTCCAGTAGATACTACTGTGTCAATGTGATTTATGTAGAAAAAACAATCTAATAAGGAATTACACTTTATTACACTATTCTAGTTCTGCTATTATAGGATGAGTTCAGTATGTGATATTTCTTTCCGTGACTGCCATGTGTGTGAAACTGTTTAACTTACTTCAAAGTGGCATACGTTGTCTTCAAATGACCCCAACATTTGGTACATCATGCGACTGAGAAGTGTTTTGCGCTATATTCGCTTGATTCATCGCTACGTAATGATGAGTTATACTAAAACTATTTGTAAGCCCTTTGGTATAATTCTAAAGCTTTTCAACTGTTTGTCAACCCAGCAAAATTTGTTAATACATAACGATAAAACTTTCTCGAAAAGCAATCATATGGCTTACATTAATTATGCTATACCTTTTAATTTGTATAAAGAAACTTAAAACGTTATCTAGAATATTTGAAATCGACTGTTGGCTTAAATACAAACTAAACTTTTATGAATGGTAAAATATAGTCAAACACACGATAATTATGAGTTAGATTCTGTGGAAAAGTTACTAAATACAGCCCATTTCCTTTTTTCTCTTCAAAGATGATAGACCATTTGTTGCTTTCTTTTTAAATGGGCCAATCGCTTTGAATAATTTTCATACACTGAATGCTTTATACAGTAAATTTGTTTCCGATAAACGATTTGTTTGAGGATGAAAACTTCGAAACAAAACTCAACTTTTCATAAACAAGTTGTTTGATGTTGTAATGCATAAATTTATTCTTTACTTTTCATCACGTCGAAATATAATAATTGGAGAAAATATTTTGATGGTGTAGAATGCGATCATGAAGAAACAATGGACCTGAATTGTGCATAAACAAATCACATTGTCATAATGTTTGTCGATATCTTGAGTGATTACGTAATAACCTACTGTTATAGGTAAACTTATAATGGACTTGTAGACCATTTTCCTTTTTGGAGGTATATAGGGATTGATTGATTTCAAGGTGATATTCATCATGGATTGAAATCAGTTAGAGAAACATTGGAAATGTGGGATCACTGAACAGCTGTTTCATCATAGGATGTGACTCCTCAGCAGTGAGCAACCACATTCCCATACGACTTCATACTACGATGAAACAACTGTCCAGTGATTCCAGGTTTTCAATGATTCTCCATATGTTGTCACTTCATGATGAATAACTCCCTGAAGTCAATCAATCTCCACGTGTATCCAAACTGAAATACCGCATGATGCTCACTGGTGATATGTTTCAAAATAGATTACCCTCAGTGCTAATGAGAGACGGTGACCAAGTTGGAGGCGTACTGGTTATTCACCGATCTCAATGAATAATGGTAGCGTAACGTCCTTAGTTGATACAGGCAGGAAGATATGAGCCACCGGACTTCTAGTACCTAAATGGTAATTTGCTCACAGTGAAACATGAAGGTTCTGAGTTCGATCCATTGTGAGGTCATAAATGGGCAGTGTTTAGGAGCAGCATGCTTGGATAAAACAGCTGTTCAGTGCTTCCAGTTCATTAATGATTCTCAAACTGACTTCAGCCCATTATTAACACCATCTTGGAACTACTTTCTGTCTTTGGATGCATTGGTTTCCTTGAAGTTACAGGTTCACCTTATTCACTAGTAAAACATACTATGTGGCCATAAAAGGATGACGGTTTTTTCCAGTCTGCTCAAGTAACAACAGTGGACTAATGAGTGAGGAAAAGAAATACCAACGAGGTAAATCTGAACTTGTGAGAAGTCAGTACACAGCGTGAAAAACCAGGAAGAGTTAGGAGTAATGCAGTTTACTTAGGGATTTAAGTCCATGATGAATTCCACCTTGAAACTACTTTCCTTTCCGCCTCTAAATGTATTGCTTTTCTTGACGTTATAGGTTCACCTTACTCAGTCGTAAAAAAACACAAAACCTGAATACAGTAAAGTAGTTAGTGACTAATTCCAACAGTTATTTTTATACTGACAGTCTTCAATCTTAGCCTTGATACTTTACGTGGCTGAACATGATTATTAGAAAGCTTGTGACCCCTTATTGATATTTTATCCCTCTCTATTCGTTACTAGGAGCGATACGACTACTGAACTTTATTATCTGAGTTTACTTTTTATGTGATCTTGAAGGGCTGACAGTTTATGTCAGTCTGCTCAGGTAACACCAGTGTACGAAGTTTACCTAGAGATTTTTAGAGCTGGATACTCTTCTGAAAATAATCAAGTGAGGATTTCTAGATAGTTATTTCAGCATAACTTTGCCAGACATCATGAAATGTAGTGACGAAACTAGTAAGAAAGTAGTTTCAACTGTCGTATACAAAGTATCACTGATAGTCTTTAGGTTTTTCATGTTATGAGTCAATCAACAGGTCTATACATCTTAAATCATAACAATTCGTGCATCAAAATTATTTGTTTAGAAGTCATTTTTCCAGTTTCTTTAACTTGCTTACGTTTCAGAAACCAACCGGTCAATAAGTATGAGTTTAAGTATTATTTTTATGTACCCTCTTACTAATAGCAATACTATCCTCCATTTTTAATTCGTATATCGACTATGGTTTCACGGATGGTTAAGAATGAAATCATTTTGTAATCAGACGGCCTACGCAACAAATGATTTCCTTGGATTCAAGCTCATCTGTACACATATAGTATTTTCACTCCTACATCTGCTATATATGAACGCATGCATGATTTCACTGCTGTCATTATCTCCTTTTACGGTTGAACAAAAATGTACTCAACTGTGGACAAAAATTAGGTTTCTACCAAAACTGATTGATGAGTGATTTCGAATGGTCGTAAACACTTGAATTTGAAAATAAATTAATGTATAACTTTGTCTACATCTGAGTTCAGTAAATATAGCTCTAAGGCAATCGTTTGGAAGTTACAGATTAAAATCCTGTCACCATCCAGATATACATTTCACATTCAGTCAACAGCTCCTGAGAATTTCTTTAACCGATCATTAACAAACCGAAATAACTGAAACAAGTAGAAACTGCAATAGACGTGTCACTTTTCTGAGTACTAATGATTCCAAGCAGAAATACAGTTCTGCTAATAATTTAGAACACAGTGATCTTGTAGATGAGAGTGTGACTTTTTCCGGTTAAGCTTTCAGTTACTACAATGTGTGATTTTCTAAGGCAATGTTTTCAAAGTAATTAAATTTATATTGCCAAGAAGTTAATATGTGCCTAATACCTTTGGAAAGAATAGGGAAAACGTTGCTATAGGCGAAACTATGAAGTACCCCATGTCTTTTAGGTTTTCTTTAATTACTGACACTAATGTACATGAGCGACTAATCTGCAATCTTCTGTTTTAATTTGCTAAGATATTAAAAAACCTTTTTGTTCACTGTTTCAGTTACATAGGAAAAATTGTTTGGAACTGTGTAGGGTAATTTTTTTTACTTCTCCCCTCTCTCTTTCTGTCTATCTCCCGCATTGTAGCAAATTATCAATTATAACTGCAGAGCGTTAGTTGCAGCTGTTCCATTTTTTACGTTTGCTGATCAAAATTTTGTATCAGAAGTAGTGGTCAAATTGCGTTATGAAGTATTCCAGCCAGGTGATTTAATCATCAAAGAAGGTACTATCGGCACAAAAATGTATTTTATTCAAGAAGGTATTGTGGATATTGTAACAAGAGATGGTGAAGTAGCCACAAGTTTATCTGATGGTTCATATTTCGGAGGTGAGTTTATGTAGGGGAAGAATATCACATATAATAAATTCTCAAGACTGTGATAATGAGGGTTCAAATCCGTATTTATCATAAAATGCATCAAATATCATATTGCAATAAGAAGCTACTTTGTACAATTTATTGGGAAATGTAAGCAATAAGTAATTCAGATATATTCTAGGAATCAGACAAATAATCGTTGCCTCTCCGAAAATGCCTCTGTCTGGATTATGCTTGAATGCTTAGTATTTTAATATTAAATAAGTTTCTCATGACATCTGAAAAACTTAAAGTATAAATCCCTGAAACAGAGATCACTATTCGAAAAGTCAGTGTATTTGGTTGGTAGCGTTATTTAACCGGTTGTGAAATTCCTGATCTATTTTTGCTGATCAAAAGGTATAGAGTGAAATAATACAGATGTCACTTTATAAATTATAGACACGTTTAAAACAGTTAGTCCCTTTTATGAATTTCGACAGCGTAATTAGAAGACGAAGTTTATCTGAGCAGTGTGATGTATTTGCGCAATACATTTTGAACAATCTGATCACACATTTACTTGTCAAGTCAATATCTATTAAACCGAGGACTGGGAAGGGGTATAAATACAACAATTGACACAATAGGGGATTAAAATTAAGAGAGATGAGGACAAAAGGGAAGTGACATAGTTAACCAAAGTTGGTTAAAGGCTAAATTAGTTGATATTGCTCACCAATTCCATAGTTCAGAAACAAGACAAAGAAGCATTTTGAGTTCACAGCACTTCAAATCTTTGAGAGAATTACGGAACAGATCGGATATAATCATTCTTAATCCCGATAAGGGATCAGGTATCGTTGTGATGAATAAATCTGACTATAAATATAAAATGCTATCCATCTTCAGCGACGAAAGCAAATTCATAGCCGATGTTCCATCAGAAGACATTAGAAAATTGGAAGCAAAAGTGACCACTCACTTAGTAAAACTTTTAAATATGAATGCTATTAGCAAGCAGGAATTTAATTCATTGAAACCTATGGGATCCGAATTTCGAAATTTATATGGATTACCTAAGATTCATAAAGCTAATAATCCCTTACGCCCTATTGTTTATGTGTCGTTCTTTCACACATAAACTGGCGAAATGGTTGGTAAAAATGTTAAATTCAGTTCGAAACGAATTCTGTAAGTTTTCATTGAAAGATTCTTTTCAAATTGTTGACTGTCTTAGTGACATGAATATAAAAAGCAAGATCATGTACTCTTTCGATGTAAATTCCTTATTCACTAACATGCCATTGCCCAACACTATTAGCATTCTCTGTGACTATATTTCCCCAAAAAACCTCCCATTTCCTATTACTCCAACCTTTCTGAAGGAGTTATTGTTGCTGTTTACTTACAAAGTCCACTTCACATTTGAAGGTGAACGCTTTCGACATGTTGAGGGTGTAGCTATGGGTAGTCCTTTAGGACTACTACTGGCTGATATTTAATACCATATATTGAAAATCTGGCTGGTGAACTCATCGCTGAAGTTCCTCTTTACAAGAGATATGTTGATGGCATAGTGATTTGTGAGACGCATGAGGATATGGTTTGTCTACTAAATAGACTTAACGCCGTACAAACACACATCAACCTGACATATGAGAAAGAGAATAGTAATCAACTGCCATTCCTAGATATACTTCTCAGTCGACGAGAAGAAGGTTCAGTAAGACGGTCAGTTTACAGAAAGCCTACATGGACAGGACAATACCTGAATTTCCACAGTTTTTGTCCAATCCAATACAAGCGAGGTCTAATAGAATGCCTGTTTAATAGGATCTATCGTATCAGTATACCAGATGCGATGGATGAAGACATCAAATTACTGAGCAAGGCACTTATGGAAAATGGATATCCGACGAAGTTTATAAACCGTTGTAGAGGTCAAATAGCACCAAAACAAACTCTATACACGGTCCTTAAGAAAAGCGTCTATATCACTTTACCATGAAGAGGGAAGTTGAATAGTAACATTTTGAGACGTAGGCTGATATCAGCCATTAAGAAAACATATTACGCGATGAATCTTACCATTGTGGAGAAAACAAAACACATGCTTTACCAAAAACCTGAACACTACATCAGTGATTACGTCATATCCCATTGTGTTTACCAATTTACATGTGTGTGTGGTCACACATACATAGGGAGGAGTAATCGAGTTATGCAGTTGAGGGCGGGAAAACATGTGCCTAAATGGCTTCAAAAACAAATGGAGTGTGAAACAGTTATAAACGCTGGTGGGAGACGACCCTCTTCATTTATAGCTAAACATATCATAGAAACAGGTCACAAAGTTAATGTTCAAACAGCTTTCAAAGTCTTATATAAAAACAGTCAGGGACGTATCCTGAGATTTGTGGAAGCCATAGTCATACATAAATTTAAACCACCTTTATGTGTACAAAAACAGTTTATTACACTACACCTACCTTGGTAAACTTTATTTTCTTACCAAGATTGGGACCAACTATGTCACTTCCTGTTTGTCCTCATCTTTCTTAATTTTAATCCCCTATTGTGTTAATTGTTGTATTTATACCCCCTCCCGGTCCCCGGTTTAATATATATTGACTTGACAAGTAAATGTGTGATCAGATTGTTCAAAATGTATTGCGCAAATACATCACACTGCTCAGATAAACTTCGTCTTCTAATTACGCTATATGCACATTTGCAATAAAGCTTGAGTAGTGACTATGTAAAAAGCCAATGCACCCAAGAAGATGGGACTGTATTTATAGGTGCATTCTGACAAATCAGCGGAATATATAAGTTTTCTGTGTTTCAAAAGTATCATCCACCACCACCGCAGTCGATTTGTAGTCATCTGTTTTATATGTATGGTTGTCACAATGAACATAATCAGCAGTTCAAATAAACCATGAACAACAGTATCAATAGAATAGCATAGAATCATTTCATTTCGGGGTTTCTCATCACCAATTTAAAAACTAAAGCAATCTTGACATCAGTAATCAGCTGATGAGAGGCACCAAACCAAAACGGATCCATGCTATTCTTCTTAAACTGTTTTTCTTGCTGTAGGAAGAATCAAGACCGCATGCCTCGTAACAGTTAAAACCCACAATTAGGATTTTACGGTATTCGTGTTGCCACTTCATTTCCTCCCGAAAAAATTCTTCATGACAATGAGAACTGTGTAAGTAGATTAAGAGGAACGCATTTTTTCATTCTACGGCTTATCTTCATCCACATTAGTGTGTTTCGAATGAGATAGGGGACATTCATGGAGTAAACTAGTTCCGTTTACTTTGAAATCTTTCTCATTTTGATGCACTTCGGACTAATGGTTCAACTAAAACTAATGCTCAGAACATGCTATTCCAAACACCAGAGTTCCATACACTGAACCGCTTCATCACACAAGCTACCTCTAGTGCAATACGTATGAGTACTGGGTCCTTGGACCTAGTTTGATTTTGAATATTTATGATTACTGAGGCACAAGTACATCAATCTGATGAGTCCTGATTGGAATGGAGCGCAAATCTGCATTCCAGCTGCCAAGTTACCACGAAAAAACATTAGTGTGATACTCATTGTAAGATCATAACATCAAAATGAAAATTCCGTATGCGAACGTAGGTTGGCTGATTCAAGTAGTATGAACAGAGGGGAGATACAGACTCCTTATATTTATATGCGATTTTATGAAACCTTAATAAAAAGTGACTCATCTCAAGAAATCTTCAGGTATTATCGTCTGAAAGTGATCAGATACTGTTTCAGGTTCAGTCTACAGGGAATGAGCTAAGAATTCAAGTGACCTGACAAAATTCCCGGGAAGATAGTAAACAACACTATTGTCCAATACTGATGTTGATGAAAACTTTAATTATAGCCCGTAATTTTTACTTCAGTGAACATTCATATTTCTCATATTCATATTATTATCGCTGACTTCTGTGTAACTGGCTCACCAGCTGGTATCAGAGTATTGTCAGACTAACCAGTAAAGTCTAGCTGTGTGGGTGAGTACTCCATAAAAATTCTAGAAGCTAATGTACTGATTGACGGTTGAATGTAAGCCTCAAATACTAACTGTTAGGGAAAAACTTAGTCCAAGGTTGTATTATGGTCGATGAGTTGAGTGGCGCCAGGCTGCATGGCACTTTTTAGCTAACTAGCATTGGAACGCAGTCAACAGAAAGCTCCTAGCCAAGATTTGCTTGCTAGTGCATATTAGCAAGGCTAAACCCACCTCATAAATTCATCCAGACAAGCTACAAAATAGTTTAACTATTTGACATATAAAAACATGAAGAAAGGAAAGCTTTAGCAAGAGCTAACTTGCATGTTTTGGAGCATCTTAATTTAGCTATCACTGTTGTGTACATAAATGATTTTTCGACACATTTTTCCATGGAAAAACTCCTACTCATTCCGCTTTGTAGACAGTTTGGAATTTTCAGTAATTATAAATGTTTGGTCTGTTTTGTGTTCCATTACAGAAATATGTTTGCTGACAAATGCACGCCGCGTGGCAAGTGTTCGAGCAGAAACATACTGCAATGTTTATTCACTGGATAGGGCAAGTTTTCTTGAGGTGTTGGACAATTATCCGTTAATGCGTAGAACGATGGAATCTGTGGCTGCTGAACGCCTAAACAAAATTGGACGTGATCCATTAGTTGTTAGCAGTCGTAAAGATTTATGCGATGACTTAAAATTAGTGAATGAAATAGTTAATCAAGTGAGTGTGTGTGGCTAACTTTTCTTTTTATTTGCAGGTTCCAGGAAATATGTTTCAATGGGCATAGGATCTTGAACTCTTACTGAGACCGGAGACTGGATTGTAACTGAAACTTCTACATCAAACACTGCGAGCTTACAAAACACCTTCTCGAAATACATATCCTGTATTATTTATATATATATATATATATATATATATATAATACAGGATATGTATTTCGAGAAGGTGTTTTGTAAGCTCGCAGTGTTTGATGTAGAAGTTTCAGTTACATTCCAGTCTCCGGTCTCAGTAAGAGTTCAAGATCCTATGCCCATTGAAACATATTTCCTGGAACCTGCAAATAAAAAGAAAAGTTAGCCACACACACTCACTTGATTAACTATTTCATTCACTAATTTTAAGTCATCGCATAAATCTTTACGACTGCTAACAACTAATGGATCACGTCCAATTTTGTTTAGGCGTTCAGCAGCCACAGATTCCATCGTTCTACGCATTAACGGATAATTGTCCAACACCTCAAGAAAACTTGCCCTATCCAGTGAATAAACATTGCAGTATGTTTCTGCTCGAACACTTGCCACGCGGCGTGCATTTGTCAGCAACATATTTCTGTAATGGAACACAAAACAGACCAAACATTTATAATTACTGAAAATTCCAAACTGTCTACAAAGCGGAATGAGTAGGTTTTTTTCCATGGAAAAATGTGTCGAAAAATCATTTATGTACACAACAGTGATAGCTAAATTAAGATGCTCCAAAACATGCAAGTTAGCTCTTGCTAAAGCTTTCCTTTCTTCATGTTTTTTTATGTCAAATAGTTAAACTATTTTGTAGCTTGTCTGGATGAATTTATGAGGTGGGTTTAGCCTTGCTAATATGCACTAGCAAGCAAATCTTGGCTAGGAGCTTTCTGTTGACTGCGTTCCAATGCTAGTTAGCTAAAAAGTGCCATGCAGCCTGGCGCCACTCAACTCATCGACCATAATACAACCTTGGACTAAGTTTTTCCCTAACAGTTAGTATTTGAGGCTTACATTCAACCGTCAATCAGTACATTAGCTTCTAGAATTTTTATGGAGTACTCACCCACACAGCTAGACTTTACTGGTTAGTCTGACAATACTCTGATACCATCTGGTGAGCCAGTTACACAGAAGTCAGCGATAATAATATGAATATGAGAAATATGAATGTTCACTGAAGTAAAAATTACGGGCTATAATTAAAGTTTTCATCAACATCAGTATTGGACAATAGTGTTGTTTACTATCTTCCCGGGAATTTTGTCAGGTCACTTGAATTCTTAGCTCATTCCCTGTAGACTGAACCTGAAACAGTATCTGATCACTTTCAGACGATAATACCTGAAGATTTCTTGAGATGAGTCACTTTTTATTAAGGTTTCATAAAATCGCATATAAATATAAGGAGTCTGTATCTCCCCTCTGTTCATACTACTTGAATCAGCCAACCTACGTTCGCATACGGAATTTTCATTTTGATGTTATGATCTTACAATGAGTATCACACTAATGTTTTTTCGTGGTAACTTGGCAGCTGGAATGCAGATTTGCGCTCCATTCCAATCAGGACTCATCAGATTGATGTACTTGTGCCTCAGTAATCATAAATATTCAAAATCAAACTAGGTCCAAGGACCCAGTACTCATACGTATTGCACTAGAGGTAGCTTGTGTGATGAAGCGGTTCAGTGTATGGAACTCTGGTGTTTGGAATAGCATGTTCTGAGCATTAGTTTTAGTTGAACCATTAGTCCGAAGTGCATCAAAATGAGAAAGATTTCAAAGTAAACGGAACTAGTTTACTCCATGAATGTCCCCTATCTCATTCGAAACACACTAATGTGGATGAATATAAGCCGTAGAATGAAAAAATGCGTTCCTCTTAATCTACTTACACAGTTCTCATTGTCATGAAGAATTTTTTCGGGAGGAAATGAAGTGGCAACACGAATACCGTAAAATCCTAATTGTGGGTTTTAACTGTTACGAGGCATGCGGTCTTGATTCTTCCTACAGCAAGAAAAACAGTTTTTGAAGAATAGCATGGATCCGTTTTGGTTTGGTGCCTCTCATCAGCTGATTACTGATGTCAAGATTGCTTTAGTTTTTAAATTGGTGATGAGAAACCCCGAAATGAAATGATTCTATGCTATTCTATTGATACTGTTGTTCATGGTTTATTTGAACTGCTGATTATGTTCATTGTGACAACCATACATATAAAACAGATGACTACAAATCGACTGCGGTGGTGGTGGATGATACTTTTGAAACACAGAAAACTTATATATTCCGCTGATTTGTCAGAATGCACCTATAAATACAGTCCCATCTTCTTGGTTGCATTGGCTTTTTACATAGTCACTACTCAAGCTTTATTGCAAATGTGCATATATCGTAATTAGAAGACGAAGTTTATCTGAGCAGTGTGATGTATTTGCGCAATACATTTTGAACAATCTGATCACACATTTACTTGTCAAGTCAATATATATTAAACCGGGGACCGGGAGGGGGTATAAATACAACAATTAACACAATAGGGGATTAAAATTAAGAAAGATGAGGACAAACAGGAAGTGACATAGTTGGTCCTAATCTTGGTAAGAAAATAAAGTTTACCAAGGTAGGTGTAGTGTAATAAACTGTTTTTGTACACATAAAGGTGGTTTAAATTTATGTATGACTATGGCTTCCACAAATCTCAGGATACGTCCCTGACTGTTTTTATATAAGACTTTGAAAGCTGTTTGAACATTAACTTTGTGACCTGTTTCTATGATATGTTTAGCTATAAATGAAGAGGGTCGTCTCCCACCAGCGTTTATAACTGTTTCACACTCCATTTGTTTTTGAAGCCATTTAGGCACATGTTTTCCCGCCCTCAACTGCATAACTCGATTACTCCTCCCTATGTATGTGTGACCACACACACATGTAATTTGGTAATCACAATGGGATATGACGTAATCACTGATGTAGTGTTCAGGTTTTTGGTAATGCATGTGTTTTGTTTTCTCCACAATGGTATGATTCATCGCGTAATATGTTTTCTTAATGGCTGATATCAGCCTACGTCTCAAAATGTTACTATTCATCTTCCTTCTTCATGGTAAAGTGATATAGACTCTTTTCTTAAGGACCGTGTATAGAGTTTGTTTTGGTGCTATTTGACCTCTACATCGGTTTATAAACTTCGTCGGATATCCATTTTCCATAAGTGCCTTGCTCAGTAATTTGATGTCTTCATCCTTCGCATCTGGTATACTGATACGATAGATCCTATTAAACAGGCATTCTATTAGACTTCGCTTGTATTGGATTGGACAAAATCTGTGGAAATTCAGGTATTGTCCTGTCCATGTAGGCTTTCTGTAAACTGACCGTCTTACTGAACCTCTTCTCGTCGACTGAGAAGTATATCTAGGAATGGCAGTTGATTACTATTCTCTTTCTCATATGTCAGGTTGATGTGTGTTTGTACGGCGTTAAGTCTATTTAGTAGACAAACCATATCCTCATGCGTCTCACAAATCACTATGCCATCAATTTATCTCTTGTAAAGAGGAACTTCAGCGATGAGTTCACCAGCCAGATTTTCAATATATGGTATTAAATATCAGCCAGTAGTATTCCTAAAGGACTACCCATAGCTACACCCTCAACATGTCGAAAGCGTTCACCTTCAAATGTGAAGTGGACTTTGTAAGTAAACAGCAACAATAACTCCTTCAGAAAGGTTGGAGTAATAGGAAATGGGAGGTTTTTTGGGGAATTATAGTCACAGAGAATGCTAATAGTGTTGGGCAATGGCATGTTAGTGAATAAGGAATTTACATCGAATGAGTACATGATCTTGCTTTTTATATTCATGTCACTAAGACAGTCATCAATTTGAAAAGAATCTTTCAATGAAAACTTACAGAATTCGTTTCGAACTGAATTTAACATTTTTACCAACCATTTCGCCAGTTTATGTGTGAAAGAACGACACATAAACAATAGGGCGTAAGGTATTATTAGCTTTATGAATCTTAGGTAATCCATATAAATTTCGAAATTCGGATCCTATAGGTTTCAATGATTTAAATTCCTGCTTGCTAATAGCATTCATATTTAAAAGTTTTACTAAGTGAGTGGTCACTTTTGCTTCCAATTTTCTAATGTCTTCTGATGGAACATCGGCTATGAATTTGCTTTCGTCGCTGAAGATGGATAGCATTTTATATTTATAGTCAGATTTATTCATCACAACGATACCTGATCCCTTATCGGGATTAAGAATGATTATATCCGATCTGTTCCGTAATTCTCTCAAAGATTTGAAGTGCTGTGAACTCAAAATGCTTCTTTGTCTTGTTTCTGAACTATGGAATTGGTGAGCAATATCAACTAATTTAGCCTTTAACCAACTTTGGTTAACTATGTCACTTCCCTTTTGTCCTCATCTCTCTTAATTTTAATCCCCTATTGTGTCAATTGTTGTATTTATACCCCTTCCCAGTCCTCGGTTTAATAGATATTGACTTGACAAGTAAATGTGTGATCAGATTGTTCAAATTGTATTGCGCAAATACATCACACTGCTCAGATAAACTTCGTCTTCTAATTACGCTGTCGAAATTCATAAAAGGGACTAACTGTTTTAAACGTGTCTATAATTTATAAAGTGACATCTGTATTATTTCACTCTATACCTTTTGATCAGCAAAAATAGATCAGGAATTTCACAACCGGTTAAATAACGCTACCAACCAAATACACTGACTTTTCGAATAGTGATCTCTGTTTCAGGGATTTATACTTTAAGTTTTTCAGATGTCATGAGAAACTTATTTAATATTAAAATACTAAGCATTCAAGCATAATCCAGACAGAGGCATTTTCGGAGAGGCAACGATTATTTGTCTGATTCCTAGAATATATCTGAATTACTTATTGCTTACATTTCCCAATAAATTGTACAAA